AGTGTGAGTAGAAAAATATTTCGTATATCTGGTTTTTGCCTTTAAATTGTGAAGATATTCACAACACCCCAGGTCAGCATGGGTCTTTTGATGTTAACATGGGTTTACATTTCTAATTTTGCGTACACTCTCCTGTTGTATGACAATATTTTAAGAAGAACAAGTGGTTAAAAGAACAAGAATCAGCGCCTTTGAATGAATTCTCAATTGGGAAATAAGCTTGAAGAGCTATTTAGACTTGCCGCTTGTCTCTAAAAATGGCTATGTAATAAATAATTCAGGCAAATGATCTGTGATACCTTCTAATGGGTGATTATTCAATTTTTTTCCCCTGATAGAGCATGCATATGTTCTTTTCTTTACCACAGTATGCAGAAAAAATTTTCGTTTGGAAATCCAAGGAAAATCGTTCAGTTGCACAACAGTTATGGGATGCTGTACGTGCTAATGATAAGAAGGCTGTGTATAGACTGATAGTTAACTCAGATGCTGATGTAAATACTAGCTATGGGCAAGGAGCTTTCAACTCTTCTCGTACCCTTGCCAAACTAACAGTGTATCAAGAAGGAACCACCTTTGATCAGTGCTCTGGTTGCTTGGAGCCATCATCAAGCATGGTTAGTACAGGTGAAGACACTGTCGTTATGGAATGTCTTCATGGATGCTCGTTGCTTCACCTCGCTTGTGAAACTGCGGACATCGGAATGATAGAGCTTCTTCTGCAATACGGTGCAGACATAAATGCTTCTGATTCAAGGGGTCACACACCTCTTCATTCTTGTATTGCCAGAGGCAAAACTACATTTGCCAAGCTGCTTCTTACAAGGTCAATAATCTGCGATCAATGATTTCAATATCAGAATGTGTCTTGTATTATATTCTTCTCAGAAGACTTTTAACACCAGTAGTAGAAAAAGGGAACTGGAAAATATCTTTTCTGAAGTTTTTTAGTTTATTTAGTTGATTTTGCACTCACAAGTTAGTTGTAATTCTGTATTTACTCTAGGGGAGCTGATCCACGAGCTATGAATGAGCAAGATACAATGCCGTTCCAGCTTGCCATGGAATCAAATAATGATGACAATGTGGTCCTGGCTTTAATATCAGAGTCAAACAGGTGATGTACGTAAATTTGGGATGATGGTTGCAGTTTGAGTGTGGTGGTTTCAGGTTCCTACCGTAAATTTGGGATATGGAAGATGGCAGCTGACCTGGTTATGCAATTTGGTTAAGCTGTCCGTCTGTGTAGTTTGCTAAATAGTATGGCCGGTGAGAGTTGTTTTTTTGACGGTTTTGTTGTAATATAATTAATTAATTTAGTTTTGACTTAATTTTTGTCCTGAATGGAAGGAGGCTGTGGTGTGATGTGTTCGTCTTGTTACTCAATGTATACTCATAAGTTGGTCTGAAGAGGGGGAAAAAAATTATGAATTTTGAGCCTAAGGTTTTGCTGTTTGTACATTCAGGATTGATACATCGGATGACAGTTCCCTCACAAGAGGCAAGTCGTGCGTAATTAAAGAATCTTCGGTCCCCTCTTGTGAGAGAGTTGTCATTTGGAGCGTCAACTTTGGATGTAAACGTAACAAAACGCAAATCCAATAGGACAACGCTACTCGGATAGACTCACAAACAGATTAGAAAATAGACTGACGTGGAAAAAAAATTACTGAAAAGAATTAAAAAATAAACGAAAGATATTAGGAAAATAGTTGTTTCTCCCTTCATTTCCTCAACCAAATTCTCTCTTCCCGAACCAGAACAGAACCTAGCCCCCAAATCTCTCTCTCTCTCCTCGAACCAAAAGAAAACCCCATTCCCCAAATCTATCTTCCCAAATTCGAAACCATCTGCAAAAGTTTCCATCGCCAGCCACAATTCCAAGCAGCGTAATATAAGGGCTTCGCCATCGCTTGACCCATTGTTTCCAGTCACTATCAAACCCCTCATTGTCGATGGTCGTAGTTACCGTGGAAGGATCCATAGCGTTGCATCTTCGTGAACGACCCGTCGTTGCAAACCACCGGACCTCGCAAGTAGGTAGAATAATTTGTATTTCATCATTTTCCATTTTTTCAGCTTTGCTTAGGTACAATGTTCTGTATTTCATAAATTCTTGCTTACAGGAAGTTGTTATGTGCCTATTGGGGTAAATGGGGTTGATAGGATTGGAGGAATATATGTGAAATGAAATGAATTGGGGACTCGTATGATCAAAACTCGACGAATTTTGTGAAAATTGATAGTGTTTAGTGAAAATTGCAACTTCCATGATATTACAGTAATTCATAGAAGGAAGAGTCATTGTTATCGTTTCATCACTTGACAATGTCCTACGAAATGCTCATTTTTATAAATTCAGTTTTCTATAGAAGATTTTCTTTGTAAATGTGGTTAATTCACAGTTTTCGCCGTATTGAGAAGTTGCCCTGCAACTTGTGGCAGTCATTGTTATGGCCAGTATATTTGTGATCATGTTGTGTTGACATAGTACATATTATTGTTGTATATCGTTGTTATTGACTTCATCTTCGTTGTTGGTGGTTGATTCCCATCTCAGAATGCTTGGAAGGAATTTTGGAATATGTCACAGTTGTAGAGCTAAAGATCACTTCTTTGCCGATTGTATAAAGAAACATCAGTGCAAACGATGTCAACAAGGATTTGAGAAATGTTTTGTGGTGGAGAAGGAGAATAAGAACAAAGGAAAATTATTCCTTCGTTGCAGTAACAACTGCGGCTTTTGGGAGTGGGTTGTCAAAGAGTACTCCAGCGGTCCATCTGGACATAGTAGTGCAAACTTGATTAACCATGTGAAGAATGAAATACTTGAAGACTTGTCCCGTACTTTCCAATCTCAAATTCGAATAAACGACGAAGAACACCTCCAAATTTCGGTGGACGTGAGGATTCGGGTGGAAAAAGTTAGCGTGGAAGGCAATGCAAAAGGGAAACGACTAGTTTGTTTACTAGATAGTTATGGAACAAGTAACATGAGATAGATTTGCACATATATGACTACTATGGACGTAAAAACATGTTGTAATGCTATTTCCTGTTTTAACATTGTGACTACATTTTGCTGTTTGGGTTCAACATGCTGGCTTTTCATTTTGATATTTCAGTAGTCATTATCAGATGCTAGCTCTAAACATGTTGGCCTTTCAACATACTGGCCTTTCATTATGATACATGCTGGTCATTATTGGGTTCAACATGCTGCTCTTTTCCTGTCATATGTTTTCACTTGAATATTAGATGCTAGCTTACTAGATATAAGAAGCTATAAACAATGTGCTAAAGTCAGTTGCATGGTTTTATGTTATAATGGAAGGTAACCAAATGAATTAGAGAACAATTCAACATTTAGCTTGTACAAATCAGCATACATTTTCCATAACCAGTTAGTTCTCTGGTAAAATTCAGCATACATCTAACCAAAGGAATTAAAAGAAAAGCTAATAAAAAATTTTCGACAACCATAAGAGCTATGTTGTACAAATTCATTCACATTTTCAGCAACTTTCAGCAACAAAATCTTGACCGAATTAAAACAAAATTCCAATCATCTTCATTGAATTCCTCCCAGCAATAAGCGACTAAAACAACCAGTAACTTTGACAACAGCCTCTGAACCAATGGCAGCTTGCTTACTACAGCTGATGCACCAGCATGTTGTCTCTGCACCAGCAAGTTCTTTCTCTACAGGACTGATATATCTCTCTAGTTTTAACCCTTGCAATTGTTGTTGCATTAATAGGGAAACAGGATATGACCAGCTAAAAGAAATCCTCCATATCTAGAAGAAGAGGTCAAATTCTTAAAATAGCAAAGACGCAATGTCAGAAAACAAGAATGAACAGCAACAATACCATGGTGGCACATTATGAGATTTTTGCCATTGACCAAAAAAAAAAAAGCACCATGCCTTAGCTTCAGGATATAAAGCCAAGAAAAACTACAATTCATTTTCCTTTATGACTACTGTTATATAATAATATATCTACGAGTACACCAAAAAATCAATAACATTGTGAAACAACCCACTCAAATGCCTCTTCCACCTTCGTTCGGTAAGCTTGGATAGTGAAACAACATATTTTGACTTACAATAAAATACATTGTCAACGTTAAATAAAGCAATCATGAGAAAATGATTTTTCAATTTACATCAAAGACATAACTTTATACCTTGCGAATTATACATAACGTTTGCAGATGGTACGTGCTGTGATAGGTGAATGGCGTGGGAATGGAATATTGTGGAAGGGAGTTTGGCGTCAACATGGAGTTGGACAAATATGGAACGGCGTCAGCATGGAGTTGTGCTTGATGAAGCTGGACGTCAAATCCTCCATCAAGCATACTAGTGTTGCTCTTTGTCGATCTCTTACAAGTGGCTGACTTCGAACCGGACTGCATGTGCAACAAAGTTATTTTTGATCTTAATTCAAAACAACTGAGCAAAATACAATCAAAGAATAAAGCATACTTCCGCTTTCTTTGATACAATCTCCAACGGGCTTTTTCTTCTAAGTTTCTTTGGCGCTCCCTTTCTTCAAGTCAACTTCGGATCCAATATGCTAACACTCGTACTATTTGCCACATCAGTGCACTGATTGAGGACCTGAACAGTGTTTTGCGCTGCGACCTTACTTCCAATACTCGATTTTGTAGACGTAAGCTCTTCGCATTGACATTTTATCCACTTTATTATTGCAAGTGAACGCCTTTCATCATCTGCAACAAGGTTTGCTAGCTGCGCAAAACCAGTAGACATCTCTTCATATCTCATTTGAGCTGGAGTACTAACCAACCCATTGTAGTTTACAGCAACCCTCGTGTGTGCTCTACGCACATCTCTCCTCCATCTCCTCAGTATTTACTTGTCCGTAATATGTGTGACGTCATTTAGTGCTAGCACTGTGATAGCATGTCTGCAAAGTATTTCCCGAAACTCGAACAAGTGACAGCTACAAATAATTTCACATTCATCTCTCTCATAAGACACGGTATACGTCTTGTTTCCTCCGATGGCCCTCACACATAATAGTGTCTCGTACTTCGTACATCACTTTGGAACTATCTTTCGAAGTGGATTGGATGTCACAATACACCTTCCCCGTGAATTTGGCTTGAACTTCACGAAATTTTGAGATGGTGTAAATTGATTGATATTGTTGCTCCATTTCAAATTGTGTCGCACAAGGTACCATCTGCGAGAATGACTTAAAATCAGCTTGAAATTCCTTTTCAACTTTATTCCTAAGAGCACGTTCGTATTGTTGGACAAACTGCTTCAACGAGGTTTTTGAATGCACGTAACCGTCGAAGAATGCATTCATACTTTCACTTTTTTGTGTAGTAGACATACCTGCCCAGAAAGTGATTTTGAAGAAGTATGGAACCCAACGCCCTCTATTCTTGTACAATCCAGATAACCAATCATTATCATGCAACTCATATGTGTCAATCATTGTTTTCCAACCGACTTCGAATTTCCCAGTAGACTGTAAATCATATACCAAACCATGTATAGCCCCAAATATGGAACCTTTATCCACGTGGTAGCCAAGTTTCTCCGGCAACTTCTTTAAAATGTGCCACAAACACCATCTGTGTTTCGTATTTGAAAAAACAACCTGAATTGCATTTTGCATTGCTCTATCTTGATCGGTAATTATACCATGTGGAGCATGATAGTGTATGCATTGAAGCCAAGTCCTAAATAACCATATAAAAGTATCTGTGTCTTCACTGGATACCAAACCACATCCAAGCAGTGTTGATTGTCTATGATGATTTACTCCAACAAAAGGGGTGAACGACATCTCATACTCGTTAGTTAGATAAGTGGTATCAAACGTAACGACATCACCGAACTCCTTGTATGCCTGCCTACACCGATTATCTGCCCAAAATACATTTCCGAGTCGCGACTTGTCGTCCAAATCCATACTAAAGTAAAATCCAGGGCTCTGTGCTTGCATTTTTGAAAAGTAGGTTTGAATTGCTGCAGCATCTCTTTTTCCAAGTCTTAAACGCCTTACTTGTTCTATGTAGTTACGGCAATCTTTTTCAATACATGTCATGTTTTCATATTCATCTGCTTCTACAACAATAGAGTTGTAACTTTTATGCAATGGGATTCCCGCTAAATCATTCACTTGAAGCTGTTGTTTCACATGTGCACTCAAGTGCTTGTTGCACCTATATAACCTGGATTTAGAAGGACTTGTTTCATGATTATGGTCGAGATTTACTGCATTAATTCTCCAATTTCCAAAAATACCGGAAGATCCAGATATCCTAGCCTTACAACCCATTTTAACTGTGAGTTGCGGCTTCAAAGAACCGCTACTATTACTGATTATTCCGCCTTCACGACTACATGTCAACGTCATGTATCTCACAACTCCACCGTCTCCTTTTTTTGAATTCCTTTTCTTAACTGAAAAACCCACCGCATAAGCATATTTCTTGTAGAAATCATACATATCTACTTCACTTTTAAACAACATACCCACTTCGGGCACAATTACACCATCTCCGCCTGATGTTACACCTTCCACTACGTTCCCGGACTCCAGCAACTCAACATTATTAGATTGCACTAAAACATCGTCCTGCTTGTCTTACACATTCAAATCCATACTTTATTACGCTGTGAAAAAAAACACCATTCATGTTCAGTGAACATATACAACAACTATCTATTGTACGATAGAAAATCAATCTATTTAACATACGAAGAATTTTATGTTCATAAATTACAGGTTCAAATCTTTGGGGCACCCATGCTTGTTAAACTATGAACTGTTTTCATAATTAATCAAAACATGCTAGTTGCTGAAGATAAAGAATGTGGTAAATACATTCACGCTAATGTTTTACCTCAGGCTAATCAATCTATTCACGCCAGTTGCATTCACGCTAACGTATCAGGCTGCTTTACCAAGAAACAATTTATATTCATAACGAGAAGGATATTCGATGTTAATCACTATTTTCATCCAGTCTAGATAAACCCTCTAAATTATAACAGTAGATGTAATGGCACTTTTTCCAGTTAAAGAACATATTTAGATGAATAAAGCTACCTTCAAATATGCAAAAATGGAAGATCTTCACCCGTATAGTGTGGCTTTCCTTCCACCTTGCCGGAAGTAGGAAAAATGAAAGGAATATCTTCCCAATATCTTCACTCGACCACAACAAGAAGCTCCTGAACGTTGGGCTTTGGCGGACAAGAACAATTAAAAAAAAAATTGGGCGGCTCTCCTTTCATGTTGCCGAAACTCGAAAGTAGCAAAATCGACGGGAATATCTACCACAAAATCGGAAGTAGCAAAAATGAAAGGAATATCTTCCCAATATCTTCACTCGACCACAACAACAAGCTCCTTAACGTTGGGCTTCAGTGGATAAGAAAAATTGCAAAAAAAAAAATTGGGCGGCTCTCCTTTCACATTGCCGAAACTCGAAAGTAGCAAAATCGACGAGAATTTCTACCACAAAACCAAAGTATTGAACTTTGTCAATTTGGGGAAACTCTGTCTCAGAAATAGGTTAGAAATGGACGTGTAATTTGGTTGGACAAGGACCACTAGAAAGAAAGATTTGGCCTTCCCTCCAAAAATTTAGCTGACGTCATTCTTTATTTTAAAATCCTGTATTTTACCCTATTTGCAAGTCTGGATGAATAGCTTAATTGCATCCAATAACGGATTGGATGAGAAATGATTGATTCGATTGTTCAGAAGATTCAAACAAAACATTCAAATTTGAAAAAGTGGTGGGAACATTTCATTATTGTAATAATTTGCCAACACAAGCCACAATTTTGGCAAATTTTTCGTTGCAGTCCCCAATGCCAAAAGCAAGGCCAAATCTACATCTCTCTCTCTCTCTCTCTCTAATCAAATCAATGACCAAACTTATTCCACATCGGCTACGTGTGCGTGTATGCCAACCAATCATATTATTTGTGAGAAGGATAACTACCACGTAATGTTCCAAGGGTAATTAACCTGTAACATTCATATCTTTCAATATTATTGTACAAAATATTTTTATTTTTTATTTTTAAGTATTTTCACCTTAATTACACCTTTGGTTGTGCAAATAGTTCTTCCATTCATTTTCTGCCAATTTCTCCTTTAGTGAACCAAAAAATTCAATTTGACCACATTTTTAAAGGGTCAAATGGTGACTCTATATTTATATCATTAAACTATCAAAATAATTAAATTTTATAATTAAAAATTAAAAAAAATTGATTTTTTTCTTTATCACCTCCACCCACCCACCCACAAACCAACCCAAACCAAAATCATTCTATCAATCTCACCACCGGAGCTAACACAAATCACAGGCGATAGTCAGTGTTAACACCCACAATCGCACTACAATCACCACACCCTCCACCTCAAATCGCCATCCATATCCCCAATTCCTAATGCCTTTACCCAAATTTTTCTAACCCGTGTATATCATGAAATTTTCAAAAAATTCCCAATGAACTTGAGATTTTTAGCTCGCCGAATAATGAAAAAATCATTTCTTCCAAATTAATCACCCACAAACAAATACAATTTGAAAAAGACTTCGCTATTTGTACATCCGGGGTTGACACCCTAGATAATACTTCTCTCACAATAGGGGGCCCACAATTATTTTACTTTAGTTTTCACATGTTTAACGCTGTTTTATGCATTTGACCACTAAGCACTAGATTCCACGGCCACGACGGATGCATTTGACGCCTGTTTTTCCATTTGCAAATGAAAGGGATTAAGAGTTGCAACGGAAACGATAATGGAATGATTAACTTGTAGCATTTAGAAATAGGAGAATGAATATGGGTGTTGGTAATTTGCTTTGGATTTTTTTACCTATTTTTATTTTTTGGAAAAATGAATATAGGTGCTGGTGGCGATATGGTTACGTGCGTGTATGGGAGTAGGCGGCATTGGCAATCGTCGGCAATTTGCTTTGGCATCAATGGTGAGAGACGAGTATAATGATTTTGGTTTGGGTTGAATTTTGGCTGAGGCTGACAGGAAAATCATTTTATTCTTTAATTATTTTGATAGTTTGATGTGATAAATAGTAAGTTACCATTCCGTCCTTTAATACTGTGGTAAAATTGATTTTTTTGGGTTGAATGGACGGAAGGACTATCTGCACAATCAATGGTTAAGTAAGGATAAAAATATTAAAAAATAGAAGATAATAACTTTTTATACAGTAACATTGAAAGAAAAAAGAACGTGGCATCCTAATTACCTTTGTGAGAAACAAGAGTTATCGGGGCCGCTGGTTTATGCGTATTTGAACGGATCTTTGGAATTTTCAATTTGGATTTGGTGGGGTTCTACATTTTTCCTTCTTTTCTTTATTTCTACTCTCGATTCGAAGGGGCAAATATTTCGGAGATAAATGGTGAAGATTTGAGGTGATATTCTTGTGGAAACGTTAGAATGTGTGATACAGAAATGATTCCACTTCTCTTCCTCTTGAAGATTTTCCGACGCCATTATATGATTTTCATTCTCAACCTCAATTCGTGTAATTTCAAGCCTTATTTGGAGCTTAAAGGTTGGCCTTTTTCAGCTCAAGAAATTTACTCTTCATCTGGATGTTAAAATTTTGAGTAATTTGAGGTTACGCTCGACATCAAGGATTCTGCTTTCTATGGAGAAGAAGAGGCACTTTTACAAGACGAGTAGCAGTAAAGCCCTAAAGCAAGTCTTGTTACTTATTTTCTGCTTCAACATTATCTCTGTGCAATGCTTAGAAAAGATCAGCAAGAATGTCTCCCTCCACAGTGACCCTCCATGACAATCTGAGCCTCCAGAATTCAAGAATAGGCTTAGGAGAATTTCTCTGAGCATTTTGTTTGGAGTCATAGCAGGATTGATTTTTTGCGGTTTTCGCTGCATTTCTAATAAGGTGCTTTATCAGATGCATTAACAGGAGCCCAAATCTTAAAGGCCCTGTTGTGTTTTCTCCCAAAATTCCTGCCGAGACTTTACAATCAGCTCTTGCAAATGAAACCCAGTTGCTAGGATCAAGTCCCAATGGGAAGTACAACAAGACTGTACTGGACAATGGCCTCATTGTTGCAGTCAAGCAGCTCGAGCCGTTTGAGAATGTTTCTATTGAAGCTCAGAGTCAGTCAGTCGAGAAAACGATACAGCAGGAGCTCGAAATTCTTGCTAGCTTAAGGCATAGGAATTTGATGAGTTTGAGGGCTTATATTCATCAATCCCGCAGGTATTATTTGATTACTGATTATGCCCCAACTGATAGTCTTGAAGATGTAATGAGAAGAGTAAGGGAAAATCAATTCCAATTTAATTGGGAATTACGTGTCGAATTGCAGTTGGATAGTTTAGGAGCTGCAGTATCTTCATTTCACTTGTGATCCAAGAAGATTGCATTGCAACTTGAAGCCCTCAAATGTGATGTTGGACTCACGATTTGAACCAAGGTTAGCAGATTATGGCTTGGCTATGATTATTCCCAATGTTTTTAGAGCTGCTTCAGGCTACAGTGCTCCAGAGTGCTCTCAGAATGACGGGTATTGAAATTTAGATATAACTACGACAATTGGTTTGTTCTACTTTAATGTACATTATAGGTTAATAGTTTAGTCTGAAATTTAGAACAATTGTTCATCATCATTCGTTTAGCATATTCATGTTTGTTAGTTTCAGTTGTTGGGTTCTATTATGGCCTTTGATGCACTTGGTTTATCTAGCTTGATTAGAGGTGATGGTTACTTTATAAGTTAAAAGAAAAAAAAAAAAACCGAATTCAAATCGATAATTGGTTTTTCTGCTAGTCTCCCATCAGTTTTCATTATCTGCACTTCTTCAACAATTATTATCTTGACCTGTCAATATATACAGAGGAATCTTAATTGATAGCATGATCTTTATAAAAAGCTAGATGAGAGGCAATTTTTTTTTGCTTCTCTGTATCAATTAAAATTATTGTACTCTACTGGAAACTAAGAGTGCTTTAAGCACTAAAGAAAAGTTAAAATAGAAGGCATCACATAGATAAAAATTAATTTCATCTTGATTCTCGAAGATAAGGCATTTGTATCCTTGCATTGGAGGAGAAAAGATAGGGCATTTTCACTGTAGTCTTTTATTTTATTTCTGAAAATTTATTTATCTTTATTATAATTTGCACTAGGTATACAGATAAGAGTGATGTGTTTAGCTTTGGGGTAATCTTGGGTGTTCTATTAACCAGTAAAGACCCATTAGATCCTTTTTCTGGGGAAGCAAATGTTGAAAATAATGGCAATGGAGAAGAAAATTATAAAAGTATATCAATGAAGGCTTGAACACGAAATTAATCTCGCTTTCCTTATATGTTACTTGCCTCCTTTCCAATGCTTTTTAAGGATTTCCGGCAAATAGTTTGTAAGATTAAACAAGCCTTGATAAGAAGAACACCAAAAAGCAAAGGTGTTTCTTCACAATGAACAAGTGAAAATGGAAGAATTATGTAATAAATTTTTTCAATATTGGAAGTATATTTGGGGATAAATTTTAATGGAACTCAATATATATTTCTTGCACTTGGATCACCTATTTATAGGCCTTGGCAAGTTTTTCACGAAGTGGTGCAAAACAAGGATTAAAAGCCACCAATTTCAAATAAAAAACGATAAAAAAAACTAATCTAGCGGTTAGTTTTGATAACCATGTGATTGCATGGGCTATACCCATGCGGTCGCATGGTTATAGCATTGCTACCCTCCCAGTCTCGGGAGGGCCTCATGCGACCGCCCCCCTTTTTTTTGAACAATAAATTTCCAATAATCCCCCACTTGTTCAAAATCTATTTTAATCACATAATCAAATATCAACACTTATGCACAAGAATTAGATATCTTTTGAATTGAATCTATTCATAGTGTAAATCTCATAAAGTATTATCAGAATTTCAAGTGGCTAGTGTGTCTTGAACCAATTATTCTTTGTGACAATATCGATGAAATCACACACACAAGTGTTATGATTTTCATTGGTTCTTCTAACTCGCTTAGTATTAATATGGCCTTGCATTAATCCTATTTCATTGAACTTTTAAAGAGAGAAAACTCCAACTCTTTAATGAAGCGGCACCACCTCGAAGTTCACATAGGTGAAGTTCTTATAGTATCTTTGTTACTTTTACGTATACTTGTATTTCGTACTAAACTTCATTAAGAGTTTATTTTAACTCATCCTTCTAACAGTAACAACCAACACTATTTTTCAAAGATAGTATTAGATATTTATTAATAGTGTTGAATCTATTCATTTATCGAATAACTTGTTGCTACCTCTTGAACCTATATATATACTAGTTTAGTATATTTTGGTGAGGTTGCAGTTATTGGTGGATCTATTTGAGGAGTTTTAATCCCATTTTACTTAATGTTGATCTCACTAACTCTTTTGTGAGAGGTTTCGTAAATGGATTTGCTAAGTTTTCACTAGACTTAACAAATGTAAGAGAAATTATTCCATGTTTGATTAATTTCCTTACATACTCGTGTCTTAGACTCATGTGTCTAGACTTTCCATTATATATTTTGTTATATGCTCGAGCTAGAGTGGCTTGACTATCACACAAGATAGGTATAGAAGAAATATCCTTTATATCTAAAGGTATTTCATATAATAAATCTCTTAGCCACTCAGCTTCTTTCCCGGTTTCGGCTAATGCTACAAACTTTGATTCCATAGTTGAATGAGTAATACAAGTTTATTTCTTAGATTTTCAAGAAACTGTACCTCCTCCAAGAGTGAATATTCAACTTGAAGTAGATTTATTCTCTCCTGCACTCGATATTCAACTTGTATCAGTATATTCTTCTAAGATTTTAGGAAATTTTGTATATTGTAGCTCAAGATTTTTGGTTTTCTTTAGGTAACCAAGAACCCTACCGATGGTCTTCCAATGTTCTGAACTTGGATTGCTAGTAAACCTACTTAGTTTACATACAGCAAATGCTACATCAGGTCTTGTACATTGTGATGCGTACATAAGACTTCCAATTGCACTTACGTATTCTATTTGTGCAATTGCTCTAACTTCATTTTTTATTAATTTAATATTTGGATCTATGGGAGTGTTAGGCTCCTTAATATTCAAATGTTTGAATTTATTTATCACACTCTCAACATAGTGTGATTGACTTAATGTAAAATCCCCACTATCCTTTTTAACTTTGATACCAAGGATAGTATCAACTTTTTCAAGATCCTTCATTTTGAAAGTAGAGGATAGAAACAATTTTGTTTCTTTGATCCCGTCTATATTATTGCTAATGATTAGCATATCATCAACATATAGACATACTAACGTGAATATATTTTCATTCACTTTCGTGTAGAGGCATTTATCTACCGAATTGTGATTAAATCCATTTGACATTATTTTAGAGTCAAATTTCTCATGCCACTTTTGGGGAGCTTACTTTAGTCAATATAAGGATTTAATTAATTTGCACACTTTATGTTCATTTTTCGGTAGAACGAACCTTCTGGTTGTTCCATATTGACCTCTTCTTCGAGATCTCCATTTAGGAATGCCGTCTTGACGTCCATTTGATGATAAATGGATGCTAATGCAAATAAGATCCTGATCGAGGTTATCCTTGCTACGGGTGCATATGTGTCAAAGTAATCAATTCCTTCTTTTTGACGATACCCTTTAGCCACTAATCTAGCCTTGTAGGTATTAAAAGATCCATCGGAATTGTATATCTTCCTAAACACCCACTTGCAACCAATAGTCTTAGATCCTGTTGGCAAGTCAACTATTTCCCAAGTGTTATTTGAAATAATAAAATTCATTTCGTTGTTTATGGCTTCTTTCCAGAACATGCAATCTCTAGATTACACCGCTTCCTTATAAGTTTTAGGATCACTTTCCACTTGAAGAACAAAGGGAATTGTTCTTACAACATCCTTCCTATCTCCTTCTACTAAGTAAAAAGAAATAAGTTGGGGATCTATTTCATCTGATCCTAAGTTCTTTTCTTTTCTAGTTCTTTTACTTCTTCGAGGTTCAATTTCAACATCTTTTATGGATGTTTCTTCTGGTGAGCTTCTAAAAATTGAAATATCTTTATTATTATTTTCAGATTTCCTAGCCACCATTATATTCTCGAAAATTTCACATCTCTTGATTCTATTATAACATTTGTTTCTAGATTTAATAATCTATAGGCTTTGCTATTAAGGGCATATCCCACAAAAGCACATTTGATACTTCTAGGACCTAACTTGATTCTCTTAGGATCTATATTCTTACAATAGGCAAGGCACCACCACACTTTAAAATAACTAATATTTGATTTTCTATTTTTCCAAATTTCATATGGAGAAATTTTATTCTTTTTCATAGGAATCCTATTTGTTATATGGCAAGCACTAAGTAAGGCTTCACCCCATAGATTAAAGGGTAATTCAGAATTTAACAATATTACATTTATCATTTCCAAAAGAGTTCTATTTTTTTCTTTCTGCTAATCCATTTTCTTCCGATCTTCTAGGTGCAGAAGCTTGATGTATTATTTCATTTTGTTCACAAAACATGTTAAATTCATTAGAAAAATATTCTTCACCTCTATCACTTCTTAAAGTCTTTAATTTTCTTCCTAATTGATTTTCAACTTCAATCTTATAAGTCTTAAAGGCACTAAAGGATCCTTATGTTTTAATAAGTACACATAAGCATATCTAGAACAATCATCAATAAAAGTAATAAAATATCTATTACCGCCTCTAGTTAACAATCCATTCAATTCACATATGTCGGAATGAACAAGTTCAAGTAATCTTGTTGTTCTTACTAAGCTATGAAATGACTTCTTAATCATTTTTTATTTAACACATTTTTCACATTTTTCAAAGTTGTCAATATCATATTGTATTAATCCACATTTAAATATACGCAAAAGATTTAACTTTATTTGAATTATCTTCAATAGTACATAGTTTGACCATTCCTTCGGTGGAGTAGCCCTTTCCAACAAAGGGCCCATTATGGGTTAATACAAGCTTTTCAGATTCAAAAATAGATTTAATTCCGGGTTTTTCCAAGAGTACAGTACTTGCTAAGTTTCTATTCATTTTCGGTACATGCAAGACATTTGTTAAAGTGATCTTCTTTCCCGAAGAGAAAATGAGTTCCACATTTCCTTTGCCAATCACTTTTGATCTTCCTTCATTTCCCATTTGTATTTCTTGATTGTCTTTAATGTTATGATAAGTTTTGAAAAGAGACTTGTCATAACATACATGGATTGTAGCGCATGTATCGTACCACTAGCCTGGAATTTTGCCTTAGATTGAATTGATTTCGCTCACTGTGGCGATAATATCATGTTTTCTATGTCTACAATCTTTGACATAGTGTCCCGATTTTCCATAAACTTAGTAAGGTCATTTGGCTTTGTTTTTGAACTTTCCTTGTGTAATGTCCTGAAAATTTTGGTAGAATGGAATTTAATTTTTGTATGCTATATTTTAATGTTTTGAAAGTTTAGGGACTAAAGTGCATATAAAGTAAATTTTAATTTAATTTGGATTAAAATGTAGATATTGACGGAGTGATAATAAGTATATGAATATTGAGCTCGTTGGATAGATCGTAATTAAAGATGCATATTAGGTTCGAGAAAAAGTTAATTTGGATTACCGAAACCTAAGTTATCGAGGTCGAAAGATATAGAATTAAATATTATTATTAGTAATATTATTTTAATTGAATATGTAATGAATTTAGAAATTTCATGGGTAACGTGCTAGATTTCTGGTAGGCATTGTTTTGTTTATTAAATAAGGTTTAAAATAATAATAAAAAAAACGAAAAAAGAAAAAAAAAAAGAGAGAGAGAGAAGATAAGGGAAGATACGTGAGAGAGAGAGAGAGAGCAGTTTTGATCTTTTCCTATTAATTTGTTTTAAAAGGTGCCACATGGAAGGAATGTATTTGTTGAGTGGTATAGTTGGTTGGCAAAATCTAGTCAAACATTTTGTTTCAAATACGGTTTCCCCAACTTCATCCAATTACCCACTATCTCTCACACGTTTTCCCACATCACACCTTAGTGGTTAGGGTATTAGTACCTATGTAGATAAATAAATCACACGAGGAAATATATATATATATATATATATATATGTTTGTGCACGACTCACAGTAACATAAGAGGCAGAAAGAGGAAAAGGAAAGAAGGGAACGTGATTCTTTGTCTTCCAAAAATTTAAAGCAGTTTAACAAGGTAGGATATGAGGTGCAGTGTTTATATGTCCCGTTTAAATTTTTTGTTTTTTTTTTTCAC